CCCCCCCCTCTTCCTCTCACACTCTCCCCACCCCCTCCTCCGACTCTCTCTCCCCCCACCCCTCCCCCTACGCCCATCCGACCGGGAGGGGAGTTGCACGTTGAGCCGGCAGTAATCCCACCAAATCCTTCATATTCCAAGCGATGATACGAAATCCCAATTCTCCATTCCCATTCCTGGCGCTCGATTATCACTCCGACCCGACCGCTCCAACCCCGCCGTCCCCTCGGCCGCGCCATTCCCGCCCCTCCTCCCCCCGCGCATAAGGGCGAAGACCCGACCCTCGCGCCGCCGGGAGGGATACGCCCCTCCGCCCTCCGGGATATGTATGACTATTCTGTCAGTCCCAAATCAAACACCCGATTGGAGTTTATAAGCGCCTTATTCCAGGATCGGCTACGTATACCGCGGGATCAATATATCCTTAAGTACCGCTCCTTAACGTTACTGATACTGGTTCCTGCTGCCTCCCTGCGCCATAATACCCGCCTCGGTGTCTGTGGTAATGACTAAGCTCTCTCGCAGAAGGCGGAGGAGGCGTGCGGGCGCGGCGGGCGGGCGGGCGGGCGGGGGCGGCGGTGTGGGCGTGGAGGTGCATCGGTGCACGCGGGCGAGTGTCAATGTGGCTTTGTGGGCGTGTATGGGCGTGTGTGTGTGTGCTTCTTACGTGTGGATTCTGTGTAATCGTTGTATTTGTCTATGTGGTTGCATTTATATCATATGTATTTTGCCCATTCATCCATCCATTCATCTATCCACCTATCTATCTATTTACCTATAAGGGGAGGAAAGATAGATAAGATAGATAGATTGATAGAGAAAGAGGGGAGAGAGAGAGAGATGAGAGAGAGAGAGAGAGAGAGAGATGAGAGAGAGAGAGAGAGAGAGAGAGAGAGAAGGAGAGAGAGAGAGAGAGAGAGAGAGAGAGAGAGATACATAGATAGATAGATAGACAGATAGAGAGAGAGAGAGTGAGAGAAAGAAAGAAATCCAAAAAAAAACAAAAACAACAACCGAAACAGAAAGAGACAGAACGAAATGGAAGACAAATAAAAAAAAAGGGAAAAGGAAAACAAAGCAGGACTACACCCCCCCCCCAACGTCACCAGACATCGTGATAAACGTGCGCCAAAAATGGAAGCGCGATAAAAAGCGCAATGCCCGCGAAATAAAGAAATAATAATGAAATGGCGGACACAGCGCGCGGGGGAGAAAAATCCTGAAAAATGACTCGGGCAAATGAGGGGGAGAAGTGGTCAGATTGCTAATGAAGAGAGGAAGGAGGGAAGGGAAGGAAGGGAGGGAAAGGAGGGAAGGTAGGGAAAGGGAGATGGGGAAAGGAGAGGAGGAGAAGGGGAGAAGAGGAGGAAGGAGGGAAGGGAAGGGAGGGGAGAAAGGAGGGAAGGTAGGAAAAGGGGAGAGGGAAAGGAGAGGAAAGAGAAGGGGGTGGGGAGAGGAGAGGAAGGTAGGGAAAGGGAGATGAGGAAGAGGAGAGAGGAGAAGGGGAGAGGAGGAGGATGGAAGGAGAGAAGGGAGAGGAAGTGGGAAGGGCAGGGAGGGGAGGTGGGAGAAGGGAGAGGGAGGTAGGGAAAGGGAGATAGGGCAAGGAGAAGGAGAGAAGGGGAGAGGAGAGGGAGGTAAGGTAGACGGGAGAAGAATGTAGGGAAGGAGGGTGAGAGCAGAGAAGGAAAGGGAGAGGAGGTTGAAAGCAGGGGAGAAGGAGAGGAGAGGAAGGTAGGGAAAGGAAGGAGAGCAGAGAAGGGAAAGGGAGATGAGACAAAGAGAGGAAGGGAAGAAGAGAGAACGAAGCAGGAGAGAAGGGACAGGAAAAGAGGAACAGGAAGGGGAGGAGAAAAGGAGAGAAAAGGGAGGGGAGAGAGGAAGAAAGAGAAAGAAAAACAGAGAACAGAAGACATAGAGAGAAAAGGGAAGCAAAGAGGAAAAGGAAGATAAAGAGATAAAGAAGAACAGAGGAGAAACAACAGACGAAGATCAGGGCAAGAGGAAGAGAAACACGGGGGCAATTACCAGGAAAGCCAAGTGGTAATAGTAGCTTGATCACCCCTGTCAACCTCCAAGCCCCCCCCCCTTCCCCCTTCCCCCTACAAATGAACAGGTCGACTTCAAAAAGAAAGATGATGATAATGATGACAATAATAATAATAACAACAACAACAACAACAAACAACAACAATAACAATAATAAAATCATAAAATAATTATAAAAAGATAAAAATAAATGAAAATAAGATAAAGTCATGGCCAATCACAATCTCAGGTAATTTACTTGAGTCATAAAATGAAAAGAAAAGAAAAAGAAGGAAGAGAATGAGAAAATGGATAAGATGAAGAAGCAGAGGAATAGAAAAACGAAGAATCAAGAAAAAAATGCATCCGGATACACACACACACACACAAAAAATAATAAAAAAACAATAATAATAAATAAAACAAAAAGAATCGAAAACACGCCATCACCTTCGCCCACGACACCCTCTCTCCTCGACGCCAGTAACCGCACGCCCGCACGCCCACACGACCGCAGCCTCTCACACTCCCCCCTCTCCCCTAAGGCCCCCTCCCCTTATCCCCCCCTCCAACCCGCAAACACCCCCCGGGGCGATCGGCAAGTGGAAATGCTGCTGGCTGGTGTCGCTGGCGTCAAGGGCTGGGGGGGGGGGGAGAGGGGGGGCTCTGGAGAGGAGAGAGGAGAGGAGAGGAGGAGAGGGGAGGGACGAAGGAGGAGGGGAGAGAGGGAGGAGGGAGGAGGAGGGGGGAGGGACGAAGGAGGAGGAGGAGGAGAGGGGAGGGGAGGAGGGGGAGGGACGAAGGAGAGAGGGACGGAGAGGGGGGAGGGGAGGAGGGAGGAGGGAGAAGGAGGAGGGAGAGGGAGGAGGAGGGGGGGAGCGGACGAGGAGGAAGGGAGAGAGGGAGGGAGAGGGAGGAGGAGGGGGAGGGAGGGAGGAGGAGGAGAGAGGAGGAGAGGAGGAGGGGGAGGACGAAGGAGGAGGAGAGAGAGGGAGAGGGAGAGGGAGGAGGAAGAGGAAAGGAGGAGGGAGAGACAAGGAGGGAGAGGAGGAGGAGAGGAAAGGAAAGGGAGAACAAGAGGAAGGGAGGAGGAGAGAAAGGAAGGGGAGAGACAAGAGGGAGAGGGAGGAGGAGAGGAAAGGAAAGAGGGAGGAGGAGAGGACGAAGGAGAAGGAGGAGAGAGGAGGAGAGAGAGGGAGGACAGGAGGGAGGAGGAGAGAGAGGGAGAGAGAGGAAGGTAGGAAGGTGATTGGGAAGGGAGGAGGCAGGGAGAGAGGAGGGAAAGGCTGATTGCAGAAGGAGGAGGGAGGAGGGAGAAGCTTGAAAGAAAGGGAAAGACTAATGTGTAGTTGTAAGCGTATAGGGAATCGAGGGGGGGGGGGGAGGAGGGAGTGAAAGGTACCTGCAATGGGAGGAGAGAAAAGGGAAACGGGTGAAAGAGGGAAAAGGGAGACGATGGGACGCTAGTAAGTATAAAAGGAAGGAGAAGGAGGATGCGATAGGGGGGGATGGGGGGTGACGAAGGAAGGAGGTATCGAAAACAAACGTAAAAGAAAGGGGGGGAGGGGGGAGGGGCAGACCAGGGAAGGAATTGAAACATACAGACAATCGGAGGCTGGTGAAGGGGGCCAGGTGGGGCAGGGGAGGTACTTGAAATGAGAATGGGAATAGGAATGGGAAGGGGCAGTGAAAATGCAAAGAAATGGGAATAGGAAGTGGAGATGCAGGGAATGGGAACGGGAATGGGAATGGGAATAGGAATAGGAAGAGGAAGTGGAGATACAGGAATGAGAATGGGAATGGGAATAGGGAATGGAGATGCAAAAAAAAAAAAAAAAAAAAAAACGGGGAGTGGAGGTGCAAGGCAATGGGAATAGGAATGGGAAGGGGCAGTGGAAGTGCAAAGAAAATGGCAATGGAAATGGGATGGTAATGGGAAGGAGCGGGAGCGGGTAACCAAGGGGCAAAGTCGGGAGAAAAGCCAGAAACGCTGTGGACACATTTCCCTCTCCTTTCCGGGCATTGGGAGCCGTCACCATCTCCCCTCTTTCTTCTCCCTCTCCTCTCTCTCCTTCTTCATCTCCGTCTCCCTCTCTCTCTCTCTCTCTCCCTCTCTCTTTTTTTTCTCTCTCTCCTTCTCCTTCTCTCTCTCTCTCTCTCCTTCTCCCTCTCTCTCCTTCTCCCTCTCTTCTCTCTCTCCTCTCTCTCCTCTCTCTTCTCTTCTCTCTCTCCTTCTCTCTCTCTCTCCTTCTCCCTCTCCTCTCCTTCTCCTTCATCCTCCCCTCCTCTCCCCCTCCCTCCCCTCCCCCTCTCCTTCCCCTCCCCTCTCTTCTCCCTCACTATTTTTTCATCTTTTTTCAGCCAAACTTCCGACTCCGCCCTTACATTAATTAGCAATAAGGGGAAGAAAAAAAATCCTTGGTCAACTTGGTCGATCTCCGGGAGGGGGGGGGTTGAGGGGAAGGAGAAGGGAGAGAAAGAGAGAGAGAGAGAGACGGGGAAGGGGGGGGGTGGCGCTCTAACTAGCACGACCTTAAGGACTACAAATATTTAACGAGTACACGGGGTCGGAAGCTAAAAAAAAAGAGAAAAAATAGATAAAATAAAATATATATATATCCTTCGACATCTCAAACAATAACGAGTAACGAGGCCGGGTTAATGGCGGCTGTTCCCCCGGCACACAAACCTCCCCTGAAACCGCGATAATAAGAAAAAGATTTGATTTTGACGTTTTCCTCTTCTCTCTCTCTGCTTTCTCTCTCTACTTCTACTTTCACGCTCTCTCTTTCTTTTCTTTTTTTACCAAAGACATAAAACAGGCAAAAATTCTATTCCTAAATAGTCACAAAAATGGATTCACACTAACCAATAATGAAAAAAAAATAACAACCAAAACTAAAGATGATAACAATAAAACAATAATAATTAATAATAATAATACCAACAACATAACAATAATTATAATAATAACAAACAAACATGATGATAATAAAAGAATCTTAAAAACAATAATAACAATAACCATACACCAAAACACACAAAAACCAACTCGAACAATCTTAAAGAAAAACCCCACCGCACTTACCCAAATACCCTTACCATCTTAAGCGAACCTCCCTCCTCCTCCCTCCCTCCCTCCCTCGGCCCACCCGCGCCGCCCTCGCTCTCCAAATCCCTAATCCCTAATCTTCGAGAGACAATCCATAACGACCAGAGCAAGGAAGGGTGACTAATCCTTCCATCGGTCCCGGTAGAGTCAGAGTCCCCGGTCGGTGCCCTTATTAACGGAGTCCGCTTAAGGGGAGATGAGTCGACGGAGGAGGAGGAGGAGGAGGAGGAGGAGAGGAGAGGAGGAGGTGGTGGTGGTGGAGGAGGATGGGGAGGAGGAGGAGTTGTGGAGGATGGTGATGGAGGAGAGGAGGAGGGAAGAGGTGGTGGTGTGGAGGAGAAAGAAGAGGAGGAGCGGAGAGGAGAGGAGGAGAAGGGAAGAGGAGTAGGAGGAGGAGACGAGAAGGGTGGTGGAGGAGGAAGAAGAGGAGGCGGAGGAGAAAATCGTGATCGCGTCTTCCTGTCTCATTACTTTTCTTTTTCTTTTCTTTGCTTCATACTTTAAAGGACTGAAGGATGAAAACTCTTTTTTTTTTCTTTATTCATTTCATACGTTTGGCCATTTGCCCCTTCCCCTCATTCTTTTCTACATTTCCTCTATACTTTGAGATAATGCCTTGTTTTTCTATCATTTCTTTTCTTTCATAAATTTGCTCTTACTTTCATGTCTCTTTTATTAATTTAATTTGTCTCTCTCATTCCTCGTCTCTTCTTTCTTTGCTTCAGGATTCCAAACAGTCTCTTCCTCTCATTTTTTTTTTCTTCATTCACTTCATACCTTAAGCACTGTGTCTCTACCTCCACCGTTTCCACTTTTTTTGCAAGAATATAAATCGTACCACCAAAGGCTCGAGTTGCACACCATTGCTAAAAGTAGACTCACGTGACCTTTGCAATGGCAGCTGTCAGTGGCAACACGTTCTCTTCCTCTAAAGCAGTGTTGTCCAAACTGGGGTCCGCAACATAGATCATAAGGGTACGTGAACAAACAGGGAACACACACGCCTCACATCTCATAATAAGTTGTGTAAGTATTTTTCAAGTATTTTGTTATCAAATCATCTTTTTTTTATTCGTGTATTAAATTCGAAATTATTGACCAACACGCCTGCAAGCAATTCTTTCCATAATTAGTATATATTTGAAAGAAAAACCACAATGCCACAAACTAGATTTAATTGATGAAAGTGAAGACAGCCATTCCGAATCGTCCTCGATTCCATCTTCAGACGAAGATGAATCAGAGGACGATCCGAAAACTGTGTCTCACTTTCATCAATAATCTAGTTTGTGGCATTGTGTTTCTCCAATATATATCAACACTATTGTTGTTTTTAAATGCAATTAGTATATTATTTGCATTATCCTTAATTAAAAGTTTGTTTAGCCATAGTGGAGGGGGAGGGGCGTTACGTATACAGTACAAGAAGGTAATAAAGAGGTACAATATGCGATAATGTTTGGACACACTGCTTCTAAAGCTCATAAAATAATGAGCAAGAAGTATCTGATCTTAGAAATAAATGAACAAGAGATCGTCCTTTTAGAACAAAATGGACAAGGACTGCGACCTTAGAAAAAAATGGACAAGGATCGACCTTAGAAAAAAATGACAAAGGTCACCCGTAGAAAAAAATCGGACAAGGATCGACCTTGGAAAAGTAATGGACAAGGGATCGACCTTTAGAAAAAAATGGACAAAGATCGACCTTTAAGAACAAGCTGGACAAGAAACCGACCTTAGAAAAAATGGACAAGGGATCGGACCTTAGAAAAAAGTGGACCAGAAACCGACCTTTAGAAAAAATGGACAAGGAATCGACCTAGAAAAATGAAAGGAATCGACCTTAGAAAAATGGACAAGGCGCTTCACCCTTTAGAAAAACAAAATGACAAGTGAGCGACCCTTAGAAAAAATGGACAAGGAATCGACCCTTAGAAAAGAAATGGAACAAGGGATCGCCTTAGAAAAAATTGGGACAAGGAATTCGACCTTAGAAAAAAGGACAAGGAATTCGACCTTAGAAAAAATGGACAAAGGATCGACCTTAGAAAAAAAATGGACAATGGATCGACCTTTAGAAAAAATGGACAAGAACCGACCTTAGAAAAAATGGACAAGGATCGACCTTAGAAAAAATAGACAAGAAACCGACCTTAGGAAAATGACAAGGGATCGACCTTAGAAAAAATGGACAAGGAAAATCGACTTAGAAAAAAACTGGACAAGGATCGACCTTAGAAAAAATGGACAAGGATCACTTTTGAAAAAAATGGACAAAGGATCCGACCTTAGAAAAAATGGACAAGGGATCGACCTAGAAAAAATGGACAAAGGATCGACCTTAGAAAAAACGAATGGACAAGAAATCGACCTTAGAAAAAAATGGACAAGGGATCGCCTTTGAAAAAAATGACAAGGGATCGACCTTTAGAAAAAATGGACAAGGATCTCGACCTTAGAAAAAATGCGACAAGGCAATCGAACCTTAGAAAAAAGTGGACAAGGGCATCGACCTTTAGAAAAAATGGACAAGGAATCGACTTTAGAAAAAATGACAAGGAATTTCGACCTTAGAAAAATGGACAAGGAAGCCGACCTTAGAAAAAATGGACAAGGGATCGACCTTAGAAAAAATGGACAAGGATCGACCTTTAGAAAAAATGGACAAGGAACGACCTTAGAAAAAATGGGACAAGGAATCGACCTTAAAAAAATGACAAGGAATGCGACCTTAGAAAAAAATGGACAAGGGATCGACCTTAGAAAAAATGGAAAGGGATCGACCTAGAAAAAAATGGACAAGAACCGACCTTAGATAAAAAGACAAAGGAATCGACGCTTCAGAAAAATGGGACAAGGAATCGACCTTAGAAAAAATGGACAAAGATCGACCTTGAGAAAAAATGGACAAGGAATCGACCTAGAAAAAATGGACAAGAAGCCGACCTAGAAAAAATAGACAAAGGGATTCGACCTTAGCGAAAAAATGGAGCAAGAAACCGACCTTTAGGAAACAAAAATGGACAAGGAATCGACCTTAGAAAATAAGATGGAACAAGATCGACCTTAGAAAAAATGACCAAGAAACCGACCTTCAGAAAAAATAGCAAGGGATCGACCTTAGAAAAAATGGACAAGAAACGACCTTAGAAAATATATGACAGGAATCGACCTTAGAAAAAATGGACAAGAAACCGACCTTAGAAAAAAAGCGACAAGGGAGATCGACCTTTTAGAAAAAAATGGACGAAGAAACCGACTTAGAAAAAATGACAAGGAATCGACCTTTTTAGAAAAAATGGAATAGAACCGACCTTAGAAAAAATGGACAAAAGAAACCGACCTTAGAAAGAAATGGACAAGAAACCGGACCTTAGAAAAAATTAGACAAGAACCGACCGTAGAAAAAATGGACAGAAACCGATCCTTAGAAAAAATGGACCAAGAAAACCTCGGACTTTAGCAAAAAATGGACAAGAAACCGACACTTAGCAAAAAAAAATGACAAGAAACCGACCTTAGAAAAAATGGACAGAAACGACCTTAGAAAAAAAATGGACAAAGGATCGACCTTAGGAAAAAATGGACAAGAAACCGACCGTTAGAAAAATGACAAGAAACCGACCCTTAGAAAAATGCGACAAGAGGATCGGACCTTAGAAAAAAATGGACAGAAACACCTTTAGAAAAAATGACAAGGATCGACCTTAGAAAAATGGACAAGAAACCGACCTTAGAAAAAATGGACAGAAAACCGACCTTAGAAAAATGGACAAGAAACCGACCTTAGAAAAAATGGACAGAAACCGACCTTAGAAAAAATGCGACAAGAATCGACCTTAGAAAAAAATGAATGAAACCGCCTTAGAAAAAATGCGACAAAGAAAACCGACCTTAGAAAAATGACAAGGAAACCGACCTTAGAAAAAATGGACAAGAAACCGCCTTAGAAAAATGGACAGAAACCCGCCTTAGAAAAAATGGAAGAAACGACCTTAGGAAAAAATGACAAGAATCGACCTAGAAAAAATGGACAAGAAACCGACCTAGAAAAAATGGACAAGAAACGACCTTAGAAAAAATGGACAAGAAAACCGACCTAAAAAAGGGACAAGAAACCGACCTTAGAAAAAGGACAAGAAACCGACCTAGAAAAAATGGACCAAGAAACCGACCTTAGAAAAAATGGACAAGAAACCGACCTTAAGAAAAAATGACAAGAAACCGAACCTTAGAAAAAATGGGAACAAGAAACCGCCTTAGAAAAAATGGACAAGAAACCGACCTTTAGAAAAATGGCAAGAAACCGACCTTAGAAAAAATGGACAAGAATCGACCTTTAGAAAAAGATGACAAGAATCACCTTAGAAAAAATGGACAAGGGATCGACCTTAGAAAAAAATGGACAAGGAATCGACCTTAGAAAAAATGGACAAGGGATCGACCTTAGAAAAAATGGACAAGAAACCGAACCTTAGAAAAAATGACAAGGGATCGACCTTAGAAAAAAATGGACAAGGAATCGACCTTAGAAAAAATGGACAAGGAATCGACCTTTAGGAAAAAGACAAGGAATCGACCTTAGAAAAAATGGACAAGGAATCGACCTTAGAAAAAATGGACAAGGAATCGACCTTAGAAAAAATGGACAGGATCGACTAGGAAAAATGGACAGAAACCGACTTAGGAAAAAAATGGACAAGAAAACCGACCTTAGAAAAAATGGACAAGAAACCGACCTTTAGAAAAATGACAAGAAACGACCTTAGAAAAATGGACAAGAAACCGACCTTAGAAAAAATGGACAAGGGATCGACCTTAGAAAAAATGGACAAGGAATCGACCTTAGAAAATGGACAAGGAATCGACCTTAGAAAAAATGGACAAGGAACCGACTTAGAAAAAAATGGACAATGAAACCGACCTTAGAAAAAATGGACAAGAAACCCGACCTTAGAAAAAATGGACAAGGAATCGACCTTAGAAAAAATGGACAAGAAACCGACCTTAGAAAAAATGGACAAGGGATCGACCTTAGAAAAAATGGACAAGGAATCGACCTTAGAAAAAATGACAGAAACGACCTTAGAAAAAAATGAAAGGGATCGACCTGGACAAGGGATCGACCTTAGAAAAAAATGACAAGAAAACCGACCTTAGAAAAAAATGGGACAGAAAACCGACCTTAGAAAAAATGGACAAGAAAACCGACCTTAGAAAAATGGACAAGAAACCGACCTTAGAAAAAATGGACAAGGAATCGACCTTAGAAAAAATGGACAAGAGAACCACCTTAGAAAAAATGACAAGGATCGACCTTCGAAAAGTGGGAAAGGATCGACCTTAGAAAAAAATGGACAGAGGATCGGACCTTAGAAAAAATGGACAAGGAATCGACCTTAGAAAAAATGGACAAGATCGACCTTGAAAAAAATGGACAAGAAACCGCATCTTAGAAAAATGGACAAGAATCGACCTTAGAAAAAATGGACAAGGGATCGACCTTAGAAAAAATGGACAAGGGATCGACCTAGAAAAAAAATGGACAAGGAATCGACCTTAGAAAAAATGGACAAGGAATCGACCTTAGAAAAAATGGACAAAGAAAACCGATCTAGAAAAAATGGACAAGGAATCGACCTTAGAAAAAATGGACAGGGATCGAAAAAATGGGACAAGGGGATCGACCTTAGAAAAAAATGGACAGATCGACTTAGAAAAAATGGAGAAGGAATCGACCTTAGAAAAAATGGACAAGGGATCGACCTTAGAAAAAATGGACAAGGAATCGACCTTAGAAAAAATTGGACAAGGAATCGACCTTAGAAAAAAATGACAAGAACCGACTTAAAAAATGGACAAGGAATCGACCTTAGAAAAAATGGACAAGAACCGACCTTAGAAAAATGGACAAGGAATCGACCTTTAGAAAAAATGGACAAGAAACCGACCTTAGAAAAAATGGACAAAGAAACCGACCTTAGAAAAAATGGACAAGGAATCGACCTTAGAAAAAATGGAAAACGACCTTAGAAAAAATACAAGGAATCGACCTTAAGAATAAATGACAAGGAATCGCCTTAGAAAAATGGACAAGGAATCGACCTTAGAAAAAAATTGGAAAGGATCGACCTTTAGAAAAAATGGACCGACCTAGAAAAAGATTGACAAGGGATCGACCTTAGAAAAAGGACAGGATCGACCTAGAAAAATGGACAAGAATGACCTTTAGAAAAAAGGGGATCGACCTTAGAAAAAAATGGACAAGAAACCGACCTTAGAAAAAATGGACAAGGAATCGACCTTAGAAAAAATGGACAAGGATCGACCTTAGAAAAAATGGACAAGGAATCGACCTTAGAAAAAAAAATGGACAAGGGATCGACCTTAGAAAAAATGGACAAGGGATCGACCTTAGAAAAAATGGACAAGGATCGACTTAGAAAAATGGACAAGGGTCGACCTTAGAAGAAAATGGACAAGGAAATCGACTTAGAAAAAATGGACAAGGATACGACCTTAGAAAAATGGACAAGAACCACCTTAGAAAAAATGGACAAGAATCGACCTTAGAAAAAAAATGGAACAAGGGAATCGACCTTAGAAAAATAGACAGAAAACCGACTTAGAAAACAATGGACAAGGGATCGACCTTAGAAAAAATGGACAAGGGATCGACCTTAGAAAAAATGGACAAGATCGACCTTAGAAAAAATGGACAAGAATCGACCTTAGAAAATGGACATGATCGACTTAGAAAAAAATGGACAAGAACCGACCTTAGAAAAAAATGGACAAGAACGACCTTAGAAAAAAGAGTACAAGGGATCGACCTTAGAAAAAACAAGGGATCACCTTAGAAAAAAATGACAGGGATCGACCTTTAGAAAAAAATGGACAAGGATCGACCTTCGAAAAAGTTGACAAAAGGGATCGACTTAGAAAAAATGGACAAGGATCGACCTTAGAAAAAATGGACAAGAAACGACTTAGAAAAAATGACAAGGAATCGACCTTAGAAAAAAAATGGGACAAGAAAACCGACCTTAGAAAAAAATGGACAAGAATCGACCTTAGAAAAAATGGACAAGGAATCGACCTTAGAAAAATGGACAAGGGAATCGACCTTTAGAAAAAATGGAAAGAATCGACCTTAGAAAAATGGACAAGGAATCGACCTAGAAAAAATGGGACAAGGGATCGACCTTAGAAAAATGGACAGGGATCGACCTTAGAAAAATGGACAAGAATCGACCTTATAAAAAAATGCGACAAGAAATCGCACCTTTAGAAAATGGACAAGGGATCGCCTTAGAAAAAAAATGGACAAGGATCCGACCTTAGAAAAAAAATGGACAAGGATCGACCTTAGAAAAAATGACAAGGATCGACCTTAGAAAAATGGACAAGGATCGACCTTAAAAAATGGACAAGAAATCGACCGAGAAAAAATGGACAAGGGATCGACCTTTAGAAAAAAATGGACAAAAATCACCTTAGAAAAAATGGACAAGGGATCGACCTTAGAAAAAATGACAAGAAACCGACCAAGGGATCGACCTTAGACAAAAGACTTGAAAAAATGACAAGGGATCGACCTTAGAAAAAAATGAAAAGAAACCGACCTTAAAAAAATGGACAAGGAATCGACCGACAAGGAATCGACCTTAGAAAAAATGGACAAGGGATCGACCTTAGAAAAAATGGACAAGGAATCGACCTTATAAAAAATGGACAAGAAATCGACCTTAGAAAAAATGGACAAGGGATCGACCTTAGAAAAAATGGATCAGGGATCGACCTTAGAAAAGAATGACAGGATCGACCTTAGAAAAAAAAGACAAGGAAAAGAAAAAAATGGACCAAGGGGATCGACTAGAAAAAAAAAAATGGACAAGAAACCACCTTTAGAAAAAATGGACAAAGGATCGACCTTAGAAAAAATGGACAAGGGATCGACCTTAGAAAAAATGGGACAAGGAATCGACCTTAGAAAAAATGGACAAGGAAATCGACCTTAGAAAAAATGGACAAGGGATCGACCTTAGAAAAAATGGACAAGAAACCGACCTTAGAAAAAAATGGACAAGGGATCGACCTTAGAAAAACACGACGACTTAGAACAGACAGGGGATCGACCTTCACCCCCCCCCTCCGAGAATACCTGGAGTCATGTTCCTCAAGTCATGTTCCTCACCAAGTGTTGCCTCGAGCCTCCAAGAATACCAAGCAGCTCTGTGAACCGGGGATGAAATACCATCCCCATGTTGTTCATATCCTGTATTTCATTTGATTATTCTCAGAGCACTCTTCAATAATAATAATAATAATAATAATAATAATAATAATAATAATAATGATGATTATAATGATGATAACAATAAAAAACGTAAAAAAATAAGATAAAACAATGAAACAAAAGAAAAAGAACGAAAGAAGAGAAAAAAATACCAATCAAACAATTTATTGCGCTCCTCTCTCGATAACTGTCAATTTGATCCAAGCATCTTTGTCATTACTGCCACATTCCAATCGTCTAACTACCTGAACGAGCTCTAACGACGTCCACAGGAACGACCTAACCCTCAGCCCAGGTCCTCCTCCACCTCGCCCACCTCTCAACGAGCAGACATGGCGCACCAAGTCTTAGCTCCACCTTGATGCCAAAAATCTTTCTTAAGTAAGCATCGACTCTGGCTTACTCTCCTGCTTGTAACGCATCGAGTAAACCTCTGAACCTACCTCTAGATATCCTTTATTTGAATATTAAAATGGTCTTATTCCTTTCATCCTACTCAAAGTTCTTCCTACATTAAATCATTTAAGAAATCCACATAACATTCATCAACATCAAAATAATCGCTATGGATTTCGCAAGCAAGTCTGAAAAAATAAGTGTCTAAAGATTTCCACTTGGTTCAAAATTCAACTCGTATCCCATTCTCCTATAAAAACATATAATCTTATCAATTATATTTACTCCAATCCCAAAGTGGTCGCTACCTAACTCAGCTCTGAATTCATCCATGTTGAACAATGCTGAAATCGTTCTGGCGCTGTCCATGAACATGTTCTGTTTTGTAATTTCAAGAAATCTAATGCTATCAACTAAGCCTAAAACCCTGAAAGAGAGAGAGAGAGAGAGAGAGAGAAGAGAGAGAGAGAGAGAGAGATGAGAGAGAGAGAGAGAGAGAGAGAGAGAGAGAGAGAGAGAGAGAGAGAGAGAGAGAGAGAGAGAGAGAGAGAGAGAGAGAGAGAGAGAGAAAGAAAGTGAGAGTAAGTGTGTGTGAGAGAGAGAGAGAGAAGAGAGAGAGAGAGAGAGAGAGAGAGAGAGAGGAGAGAGAGAGAGAGAGAGAGAGTGAGAGAGAGAGAGAGAGAGAGAGAGAGAGATTCCAGTTTATTCTAGCACAATAACGAGTAACTACGATCATTATACACGCAACTAACAAACAAACCACCGCCACCAACAACAGCAAAAACCAACAACCAAACAAACCATGCACAATAATACTTCAACAACAACCCTTCCACAACCTCACCATCACCTTACCACGAATACCCAAAGCAAGTCCTAACATACAACCCACACCATCATTAACACGTGCAGACCACGCGGACATACGAAAAGTAAACAACACTATAACCAAGTAAACAACACTATGACAACCAAGTAAACAACACTATGACAACCAAGTAAACAACACTATGACAACCAAAATTCCCTCCAAAACAAAGACCCGCCGACATTATGCAAATAAACCAAGACAAATAACATACAAAGGACCACGATGTTGCAATTATCGTGTCCTCCGCCTATGTCCTCCGTTCGTAAGTCCCAAAAGTCAGTCAAAATTCGCCTCCCTGAAAAGCTGTCAACATATGATAAAAGACGCTAAAATCGCAAGCAGGGACGAAAGAGAGAGAGAGAGAGAGAGAGAGAGAGAGAGAGAGAGAGAGAGAGAGAAGAGAGAGAGAGAGAGAGAGAGAGAGAGAGAGAGAGAGAAGAGAGAGAAGAGAAGAGGAGGAGAGAGAGGAGAGAGAGAGAGAGAGAGAGAGAGAGAGAGAGAGAGAGAGAGAGAGAGAGAGAGAGAGAGAGAGAGAGAGAGAGAGAGAGAGAGAGAGAGAGAGAGAGAGGAAAAGGAAGAAGAAGAGAAGGAAGATAAAGAAGAGGAGAAAGAAAAGGAGAAGGAGGAGAAAGAGAAGAAGGAAAGGTGAATTCCATGCACTGTATTCATACCAACACATACCCTCGGATACCAAATAAAACCAGTGACGACAAAGGGTATTTGCAACCTACAGCACTGTTGCAAAGAAGGAGGACTAAGACACCAAACATTATCAACATTTACCTGTTTTTTAGCGTGTCTCCGCGGTACCAAAACAGTTAGTATAGTGCAAGAAACAATATATTTTGAGCAATTGCGTGATTTTTGTATAGAAAAATAGGAAAAAAGACAATCGAATAATTAAAAATGGATTTAAAATACATGCAAACACACGCACGCGCACACACACACACACTTATATACATATAAAAACATCAACAAACACCACCATCACCACAACAACAATAATTATTATTATTATCATAATACAACAAAAACAATAATGATAACAATAATGAACAGCAACAGCTCCCGCAGACCAATCACCACCACCACCACCACCACATTCACCATACTCCTCCAGCCAACTCAACCGCAAATTGCAAAAAAACTGGCTCGCTGCAATTTCGCAACAGTCAAGTGATAATGACCCGTTTCGCAAGGCCGCTGAACGAGGTCGCCTTTCGTATTCATATCAAGGACAAACTCTTCAGCGCACAAAAGGTCCATGAGCGTGTGGTGGTGGGTGGTGATGCATGATGTGGATGATGTGATGATGATGATGATGATGTGATGATGAATTGATAATGATGATGATGTGTTGGGTGGTGATGGTGGTATGATGATGATGATGATGATGATGATGTGGTGGTGGGGTGATGATGGTGGTGGTGGTGGTGATGATGATGTGGTATGATTGATGGTGGTGGTGATGATGATATGCGATGCTGATAACGCTGCAGTAGTGATGATAAGATAGTGATGATATATTTGGTGTTGGCGATGATATGTGACTAAGCTGGTAGTCGTGTGGTAGAAGTGACGACAACAACGGTGGTGATGAAAGTGGTGGTGGCGATAAATAAACTACATAATTCCGTCTCTAATCATCATTCTAACAAAGATGGATGATAAAATACCCACCAAAGAGTGCTCAGGAAAATATATTAATAAAATCATGAACCTTATCCTTCTCCCTCTCTCTCCCTCTCCTCCTCTCTCCGTCTCTCCCTCTTCTTCTCCCTATCCCCTCTCTCCCCTCTCCTTCTACCTGTGATGTGTTCCCAGAAAGAAGATGAAGAAGAAGAAGATGAAGAAAACTAGCCCAAAGTAGCAAAATAGCTGCCATAGCCACCGTAGGACACTCTCCTTCTCCCTCACCACAAAAGTACCCCAAGTTTCCACAACATATCCAAAAGCAGGACTCCGAGTCACCACAACCACAACCCAAAGATTCACACCCTTTTCTCCCCCCACCTTCCACCCACCGTCCTCACCACAAGCATGTCCCAAATGCACACTCCCTCTCCTTTTCCCTTTTTTTCTTTCCCCTCCCCAACCCTCCCCTCCCTTCCTTCCTTCCCTCCTCTCCTCTCTCTCCCTTCCTTTCCTTCCCCTCCCTCCCTTCTCTCCTCTCCTCTCCCTTCCCCTCCCTTCCCTCCCTCTTCTCCCTTCCCCTCTCCTTACTCATCATCACACCCAAGGAGATTGCAGAAGGCAGATAGTCGCCGCTTCGCACTAAGGGAGAGGAAAGGGAAAAATGGAAGGGGGAAAGGGGAATAGGGAAGAGGAAAAGGGGAAAGGGAAGAGGGGAAAGGGAAAAAAGGGAAGAGGATCAGAGAAAGGGGGTAAAGGGAACGAAGAGAGCAAGAAAAAAGAGAACGAAGAGGGAAAGGGTAAGAGGGAAGAGACCATGGGTATGGGAGAAGAGAAGGAGAGGAAATGGGAAAAGGGAGAAGGTTAAAGATTAGAGAGAAGAAGGAAGAAAGTAAGAGAAAGAGAGAATAAGAAAAGAAAGAAAAAAACGAGTAAGAAAAGTAAGAAAACAGCAAGAAAAGGGGAAAGGAAGAGAGAGGGGAGACGAGGGGAGGGGGAGAGAAAGGGGAGGGAGGGGGGAGGGAGGAGGGAGGAGGAGGCAACCGGCGCACGAGAGATGAACGGGGGAAACTCCGAGGCCCATTTACCGCAAAAGCCGACACTTAATTTAGACTTAGAAGGGCTTACTGACTCTCTATCAGGACTTTGTTGTTCTGATTATGCCGTCGCGAACTCGCTGGTGCCGAGCAGCAGGGGGCAGGGGGTCAGGGGGAGCAGGGGGGGAAGGATGGGGGATGGGAGGGGGAAGGAGGGAGGAGGGAGGGAGGAAGGGATTGAAGGGGGGGGCAGAAGTGGGGCAGGAGGAGGGAAGGAAGGAAGAGGGAGTGAGAAAGGAGGAGGGAGGAGGGAGGGAGGGTGGTAGTAGGATTGAAAGGGAGTTTCCGAGGGAAGGTGAGGAGGAGCTGGGAGGGGGGTGGTGGGGAACAGGGAGGGGATGGAAGATGGAGGTAAGGGGGATTGGAAGGGGGTTACCAGAGGAAGGCAGAGGACAGGGAGGGTTGGAGAGAGAGGGGATATGAAGGAGGAAGAGGAGAGGGGGAGGTAATTGTAGGAGGTTAGCAGGGAAGGAAGAGGAGGAAACATGTCTTTCGGTGATGACGGCGGTGGTGATGTGATGACTGTTGAGGATGGTGATGACTCTGTCTATCTCTTTTTCTCTCTTCTCTTCCTTTTTCTTGTCTCTCTCTTCATTTTGTCCGTTTTTTTTTGTCTTTTTGTCTTATTTGTGTGACGATCTCTTTTCTTTCTCCCTTCATGGCTCTCTCACCTTGACTTCCTCTTTCTCCTTCTCTCCCCTCTACTTCCACTTTCTCCCTCTCTCCCTTTCACTCCTCTTCCTTCCCCTCTCTCTCTCCCTTTCACTTCCTCTTCCTCCCCCTCTCTCTCTCCCTTTTCACTTCCAATTCTCCCCCCCTTCTCTCCTTTTCACTTCCTCTTCCTCCCCCTCTCTCTCTCCCTTTCACTTTCCTCTTCCTCCCCCTCTCTCTCCCTTTCACTTCCTCTTCCTCCTCTCTCTCTCTCTCTCTCTCCCTTCCTCTTCCCCCTACCCTTCCGTCCTCCCTTCCCCTCTCCTCCTTCCCCCTTCCCTGCCCTGCCCTCCCCCCTCCCTCCCCCGAGCCCGCGCCGCCGGCATCCTCAACTCTCACCTCGATGGCCAAACATAAACAAAACTTCCCGATTTTAACGAGAGCTCCGAGAAATATTCACATTGCTGCCTGTCATTACCAGTGGCGCGGGGAAGGCCCGGGAAATCAACAGGACCACGCTCTATACACCGCCCCGGGGGCCCCTGTGTCCGCTTATAGGTGTCCACTGGTGTCTGCCGTGCAGGTGTCCCTACTGGTGTAACGTCCACTGGTGTCTGCTGTTGTTCTCAGGTGTCCGCAGGTGTCCGCAGGTGTCCACTGGTGTCCGTAAGCGTCCACTGGTGTCTCCTGTTGTTCTCACGTGTCCACTGGTTTCCGTAGGTGTAATTCATGCGGCGAAGTCACGATCAACATCACAAGATAAGCACACGAC